CCCTGCCAGTGCGGCTCAGCAGCAATGGCCGCCTGGTTGACTGGGGTTGTGGGGCGCAGGGGAAGCGCTAACGTCCGTCTGCTCTAGCACGGCTCCACCATCTTCCGGGAAAGGGACTCGAGCCGGCCTGGGTCACTGGGAAGGGATGGAGCACGACCCAGACGGCGCACAGAAGAGGCCAAAGCCTCCGGCCAGTCCGAAAGCAGGAGGCTTAGGGCAGGCCCGTCTGGTCGCGGGGAAGGAGAGGGGATCGGCGTGGGTGGAGTGACGGAGCCAGTGCTGCTGGCCCCAGAGGAGCACGTGATGGACCCAAGAGGCAGGGAGCAGGACAGGCCCTTGCCGCTTTCGCGCAAACCGACCACTGGCTGCGGCCGCTGCGCACAGGGAAGGCTGGCCCAGGCCGGGCCCAGTTCGGAAGCAGCACAGAAGTTAGCACCTGACTCGACTGGCGTTCGTGCTTCCCACTTTGCCGGAGTCGTACCGAAGTATTGCCGGCTCGCACCCGGCTCCTCCAAGTGCCACCCGCGTCCGGTCAACACCAGGGCCAACGTACCTTTTCCCGTGCCGTAGGCCTCAGCCACGATCGGCTTCAGTTTGTACGGGGCGAGGTGTGCTTCGAAGATGTGACCGCCATCCAGACTGATGGCATCTGCATTATCCTCCTGAAACACAAGAGGGTTAAGCCAAGGCTGGGTGCAGGCATCAGGGGCCAGAAGCCATGGGCATGAATGAACCGAGCCTCTCTCTGGGTCCTTCCCGGCTGAGGCGCTGCCGTCCCCATGGAGCCAGGGAAGGAAATCAGAGCCTGAGAGGAGAGCGAAGCCTTCATCCCCGAGGAGGCAAATGGACCCAGCAGGACAAGCTGTCCCACCCAGCCCCGGGCCTGCTCTGTTGCTGGTGACTTACCGCAATGGCACTTATGCAGTCCAGGTGGCTGGCTTTCTTCACGCAGGCTAATGCCGGGATCACGTCGGCCATTTTCTCCTTCAGTTTCACACACTTACTCTGCTCCAGGTCGGATATCGTGCACCACCGGACGGAGGACTCAGCAGAGCAGAACACTGTGGAGAAAGCCAAGAGCACTAAGCAGCTGTTTCATGACCCTCAGCCCTAGAGAGAACCAGCATCCCTCCCTCCAGGCGTAGGTCTCCTGCGAGATGCCCTGCCCATGCCGGGGGGCAGGACCCTGAGGCTGGGGGGTGCTGTGTGCTGGTTCCTTACATCTAGAATCAAGAGGCTGCAAAGGGCTAAACTCTCCCCGATGCCTCTAACGGAGTGACCGCCGGGCGGATTTGGCCCAGAGTGTGGGGGGCTGATACTTCTATGTGCCGGCTCGCGCTGACTGGCCACTGATGCCCAGGAGATTTCGGGGAACCTCCTCGCCCCGAGTCAAATGCAGGTTTGTGCTCTTAGGGGCAACGGCTCCTCGTTCGAGGTGAGGAAGAAACGGGACCAAGTGCGACCGACCTTCTGTCCCCCAGAGTTAAGTGTCCGTGGCGTGAGCGAGAGCAGCATTGCTGTACACACCGGCCTCTCTTCCCAGCCCTCCGGATTGCTGGACACACCGGCCTCTCTCCCCAGCCCTCCGGATTGCTGGACACACCGGCCTCTCTCCCCAGCCCTCCGGATTGCTGGACACACCGGCCTCTCTCCCCAGCCCTCCGGATTGCTGGACACACCGGCCTCTCTCCCCAGCCCTCCGGATTGCTGGACACACCGGCCTCTCTCCCCAGCCCTCCGGATTGCTGGACACACCGGCCTCTCTCCCCAGCCCTCCGGATTGCTGGACACACCGGCCTCTCTCCCCAGCCCTCCGGATTGCTGGACACACCGGCCTCTCTCCCCAGCCCTCCGGATTGCTGGACACACCGGCCTCTCTCCCCAGCCCTCCGGATTGCTGGACACACCGGCCTCTCTCCCCAGCCCTCCGGATTGCTGGACACACCGGCCTCTCTCCCCAGCCCTCCGGATTGCTGGACACACCGGCCTCTCTCCCCAGCCCTCCGGATTGCTGGACACACCGGCCTCTCTCCCCAGCCCTCCGGATTGCTGGACACACCGGCCTCTCTCCCCAGCCCTCCGGATTGCTGGACACACCGGCCTCTCTCCCCAGCCCTCCGGATTGCTGGACACACCGGCCTCTCTCCCCAGCCCTCCGGATTGCTGGACACACCGGCCTCTCTCCCCAGCCCTCCGGATTGCTGGACACACCGGCCTCTCTCCCCAGCCCTCCGGATTGCTGGACACACCGGCCTCTCTCCCCAGCCCTCCGGATTGCTGGACACACCGGCCTCTCTCCCCAGCCCTCCGGATTGCTGGACACACCGGCCTCTCTCCCCAGCCCTCCGGATTGCTGGACACACCGGCCTCTCTCCCCAGCCCTCCGGATTGCTGGACACACCGGCCTCTCTCCCCAGCCCTCCGGATTGCTGGACACACCGGCCTCTCTCCCCAGCCCTCCGGATTGCTGGACACACCGGCCTCTCTCCCCAGCCCTCCGGATTGCTGGACACACCGGCCTCTCTCCCCAGCCCTCCGGATTGCTGGACACACCGGCCTCTCTCCCCAGCCCTCCGGATTGCTGGACACACCGGCCTCTCTTCCCAGCCCTCCGCCTTGGCCGATGGCTCTTCCTTTGGAGAGTCCCTCGTCTAAAGTGCCCCTCGCTCCCGCCCCTGCTGAGTCGAGTCCCAGGGCCCGGGGAGGGGAGGGATGTGGTCAGGGAGGTGGCCTGGTTAGCACAGGGACAGGGGCCGGGGAGGGGAGGGACGCGGTCAGGGAGGTGGCCTGGTTAGCACAGGGACAGGGGCCGGGGAGGGGAGGGACGCGGTCAGGGAGGTGGCCTGGTTAGCACAGGGACAGGGGCCGGGGAGGGGAGGGACGCGGTCAGGGAGGTGGCCTGGTTAGCACAGGGACAGGGGCCGGGGAGGGGAGGGACGCGGTCAGGGAGGTGGCCTGGTTAGCACAGGGACAGGGGCCGGGGAGGGGAGGGACGCGGTCAGGGAGGTGGCCTGGTTAGCACAGGGACAGGGGCCGGGGAGGGGAGGGACGCGGTCAGGGAGGTGGCCTGGTTAGCACAGGGACAGGGGCCGGGGAGGGGAGGGACGCGGTCAGGGAGGTGGCCTGGTTAGCACAGGGACAGGGGCCGGGGAGGGGAGGGACGCGGTCAGGGAGGTGGCCTGGTTAGCACAGGGACAGGGGCCGGGGAGGGGAGGGACGCGGTCAGGGAGGTGGCCTGGTTAGCACAGGGACAGGGGCCGGGGAGGGGAGGGACGCGGTCAGGGAGGTGGCCTGGTTAGCACAGGGACAGGGGCCGGGGAGGGGAGGGACGCGGTCAGGGAGGTGGCCTGGTTAGCACAGGGACAGGGGCCGGGGAGGGGAGGGACGCGGTCAGGGAGGTGGCCTGGTTAGCACAGGGACAGGGGCCGGGGAGGGGAGGGACGCGGTCAGGGAGGTGGCCTGGTTAGCACAGGGACAGGGGCCGGGGAGGGGAGGGACGCGGTCAGGGAGGTGGCCTGGTTAGCACAGGGACAGGGGCCGGGGAGGGGAGGGACGCGGTCAGGGAGGTGGCCTGGTTAGCACAGGGACAGGGGCCGGGGAGGGGAGGGACGCGGTCAGGGAGGTGGCCTGGTTAGCACAGGGACAGGGGCCGGGGAGGGGAGGGACGCGGTCAGGGAGGTGGCCTGGTTAGCACAGGGACAGGGGCCGGGGAGGGGAGGGACGCGGTCAGGGAGGTGGCCTGGTTAGCACAGGGACAGGGGCCGGGGAGGGGAGGGACGCGGTCAGGGAGGTGGCCTGGTTAGCACAGGGACAGGGGCCGGGGAGGGGAGGGACGCGGTCAGGGAGGTGGCCTGGTTAGCACAGGGACAGGGGCCGGGGAGGGGAGGGACGCGGTCAGGGAGGTGGCCTGGTTAGCACAGGGACAGGGGCCGGGGAGGGGAGGGACGCGGTCAGGGAGGTGGCCTGGTTAGCACAGGGACAGGGGCCGGGGAGGGGAGGGACGCGGTCAGGGAGGTGGCCTGGTTAGCACAGGGACAGGGGCCGGGGAGGGGAGGGACGCGGTCAGGGAGGTGGCCTGGTTAGCACAGGGACAGGGGCCGGGGAGGGGAGGGACGCGGTCAGGGAGGTGGCCTGGTTAGCACAGGGACAGGGGCCGGGGAGGGGAGGGACGCGGTCAGGGAGGTGGCCTGGTTAGCACAGGGACAGGGGCCGGGGAGGGGAGGGACGCGGTCAGGGAGGTGGCCTGGTTAGCACAGGGACAGGGGCCGGGGAGGGGAGGGACGCGGTCAGGGAGGTGGCCTGGTTAGCACAGGGACAGGGGCCGGGGAGGGGAGGGACGCGGTCAGGGAGGTGGCCTGGTTAGCACAGGGACAGGGGCCGGGGAGGGGAGGGACGCGGTCAGGGAGGTGGCCTGGTTAGCACAGGGACAGGGGCCGGGGAGGGGAGGGACGCGGTCAGGGAGGTGGCCTGGTTAGCACAGGGACAGGGGCCGGGGAGGGGAGGGACGCGGTCAGGGAGGTGGCCTGGTTAGCACAGGGACAGGGGCCGGGGAGGGGAGGGACGCGGTCAGGGAGGTGGCCTGGTTAGCACAGGGACAGGGGCCGGGGAGGGGAGGGACGCGGTCAGGGAGGTGGCCTGGTTAGCACAGGGACAGGGGCCGGGGAGGGGAGGGACGCGGTCAGGGAGGTGGCCTGGTTAGCACAGGGACAGGGGCCGGGGAGGGGAGGGACGCGGTCAGGGAGGTGGCCTGGTTAGCACAGGGACAGGGGCCGGGGAGGGGAGGGACGCGGTCAGGGAGGTGGCCTGGTTAGCACAGGGACAGGGGCCGGGGAGGGGAGGGACGCGGTCAGGGAGGTGGCCTGGTTAGCACAGGGACAGGGGCCGGGGAGGGGAGGGACGCGGTCAGGGAGGTGGCCTGGTTAGCACAGGGACAGGGGCCGGGGAGGGGAGGGACGCGGTCAGGGAGGTGGCCTGGTTAGCACAGGGACAGGGGCCGGGGAGGGGAGGGACGCGGTCAGGGAGGTGGCCTGGTTAGCACAGGGACAGGGGCCGGGGAGGGGAGGGACGCGGTCAGGGAGGTGGCCTGGTTAGCACAGGGACAGGGGCCGGGGAGGGGAGGGACGCGGTCAGGGAGGTGGCCTGGTTAGCACAGGGACAGGGGCCGGGGAGGGGAGGGACGCGGTCAGGGAGGTGGCCTGGTTAGCACAGGGACAGGGGCCGGGGAGGGGAGGGACGCGGTCAGGGAGGTGGCCTGGTTAGCACAGGGACAGGGGCCGGGGAGGGGAGGGACGCGGTCAGGGAGGTGGCCTGGTTAGCACAGGGACAGGGGCCGGGGAGGGGAGGGACGCGGTCAGGGAGGTGGCCTGGTTAGCACAGGGACAGGGGCCGGGGAGGGGAGGGACGCGGTCAGGGAGGTGGCCTGGTTAGCACAGGGACAGGGGCCGGGGAGGGGAGGGACGCGGTCAGGGAGGTGGCCTGGTTAGCACAGGGACAGGGGCCGGGGAGGGGAGGGACGCGGTCAGGGAGGTGGCCTGGTTAGCACAGGGACAGGGGCCGGGGAGGGGAGGGACGCGGTCAGGGAGGTGGCCTGGTTAGCACAGGGACAGGGGCCGGGGAGGGGAGGGACGCGGTCAGGGAGGTGGCCTGGTTAGCACAGGGACAGGGGCCGGGGAGGGGAGGGACGCGGTCAGGGAGGTGGCCTGGTTAGCACAGGGACAGGGGCCGGGGAGGGGAGGGACGCGGTCAGGGAGGTGGCCTGGTTAGCACAGGGACAGGGGCCGGGGAGGGGAGGGACGCGGTCAGGGAGGTGGCCTGGTTAGCACAGGGACAGGGGCCGGGGAGGGGAGGGACGCGGTCAGGGAGGTGGCCTGGTTAGCACAGGGACAGGGGCCGGGGAGGGGAGGGACGCGGTCAGGGAGGTGGCCTGGTTAGCACAGGGACAGGGGCCGGGGAGGGGAGGGACGCGGTCAGGGAGGTGGCCTGGTTAGCACAGGGACAGGGGCCGGGGAGGGGAGGGACGCGGTCAGGGAGGTGGCCTGGTTAGCACAGGGACAGGGGCCGGGGAGGGGAGGGACGCGGTCAGGGAGGTGG